GTTCCTTCTTGTTTGATTGTGTGTGTGTGTGTGTGTGTGTGTGTGTGTGTGTGTTTGTATATGTCAGATGACATTACCATGGTAATCTGTCCTGGGATCGGTAACCATAGCGAAAAGAACTACATTCGGACCTTTGTGGATCACTCCCAGCGGCAGGGTTACCGCTGTGCTGTCCTCAACCACCTGGGAGCCCTGCCCAACATGGAGCTCACCTCTCCACGCATGTTCACCTACGGTAACATCACATACATGTTATAGTCCAAACCGTAGTGGGGAAGTTGACTTCACGGCATTTTTTATGTTGGTCTATTAAAATTATATATATATATATTATATTTATACAGGTTGTACTTGGGAGTATGCAGCCATGGTGGCCTACATCAAACAAGCTTTCCCCCAGACGCTGCTGGTGGTTGTGGGATTCAGTCTTGGGGGAAACATTGTCTGTAAGTTCCTGGGTGAGCACACATCGAACCAGGACCGAGTGCTCTGCTGTGTCAGCGTCTGTCAGGGTTACTGCGCCCTCAGGTTGGTAGAATGACAAACAAATGAACAGAACCAGAACTGGATATGATTAAAATTGCTTAGGATACGTATATATATATATACCTGCCATTTCTGTATGTGTGTGCAGGGCCCAGGAAACATTCCTCCAGTGGGATCAGTGCCGGAGGCTTTACAACTTTGTGTTGGCGGACAAAATGAAGAAGCTCATCCTGTCACACAGGTGGAGAAACACAACAACCGTTTCTGCGGTTACTGATTAACATTAAGTCTATAACAGTGCCATTCATTATACATAAATTACAGCATTGCTCTTTTTCTGGTGTGTATGCCAGAAAGCAACAAGATAAAGCTTGGATCATTTTTTTCCCCCCAATGTATTGAGTTGTTTCTTTACATTAATTGTTGATTTGTCTAAAAACCTTTTATTGTATTGTCCAACAGGAGCAGTTTGCTCAGCATGAAATCCAGTAACATTGGGGATGCAGACCTGAACAAACTGTACTCAGCCACATCTCTGATGCAGATTGATGACAGCATCATGAGGTGAAGTTTGTGTGGGTTTTTATTTTGATTCAGTTGCTAATGGCTGCTCCCAGTTCTACAGCTCTTATCTCGGTCACTGATGTTATCACACAATTTGCACTGCAGGAAATTTCACGACTACAGCTCCTTGAAAGAGTACTACGAGAAGGAGAGCTGTGTGCACTACATCCACAACGTGAGTGACAAGTGTGTGTGTAGATGTTTGCACAGAAAGTTTAGATTAGACGTTAAGTTTGGTTTCTGCTCACTAGTAAACACACTGTATCTCGTTTGTTTAACGCTGTGTGGTTTCAGAGGAAGTTATGTGGTGTAACCGTTTTTTGAAAAACTTGTGTGTTTCTGCTAGTTGCCTGGTAACCTCATTACCCCTGCAGCTCAGTTTAAACCACAAATTGTCATCTTGAGCTAGGCTGTCTTCAGTCTTTATGCTAAGCTAATATCTTAATAGCAACTATAGCTCTGCACTGACAGCTTGAAGAAGGTGAATAATCATAGAACTAAAAATGGTGGTTGTTTAAATAAATATTTAAAAACAACAGTTTTTACTACTGCTACAGCAATACTGTAGTCTACTACTATTACTGCCTGTAACACTATTACCTCTGCTGTTACTGTTGCTACTACTACTGGTACCACTATACTGCTATAGCTTCTACAACAAGAACACTACACTGACTAACCCACTACAGTAACGTCTGCTATCATTACTACTACTGTTCCTACTGCTGCTGCTCCCTGCAGAAGCAGTGTGTAACCAGACCTTACAAAGTCAGTCAACAACAAACTGTTGTTTCATCTCCAGGTCACTGTGCCTCTGCTCCTGGTAAACTCCTCAGATGATCCTCTAATTCATCAGTCACTACTGGCTATTCCACGCACACTCGCAGGTTTGTGTTATTTGGGCTATTATGTGAAGGTGTGTATTGCATTGGCCATGATGTAGAGATATTCATGAAGAACATTTAACATGTTTTATACAAATAGATTTAATAAGTGCACACAGTTTATTGTCAGTGTTAGTGACTGCAGTGGAAACCCTGACTTGGTTTGAAATATTTAACAAATGAATTGGGCTTACCTTTAAGACTTCTTGATTGGTACATAAAAGCCACCACGTTTTGGTAGAAAAGCTTTCAATAAGGTCTCATGACATGACAACAGGAAGTATGCGAGTATAATCTCCTCTTCTACACATCTGATTATACAGCAAAGTGTGAAGGGTTAACTAAACTGTTGCTATGATGACTCAAATGTTTGTTTTAAACATTTTGCGTGTTTCCTAGACAATGACAACTACAACAGAAAAACATACAAAGTCACATAAACTCAGACTAGTGTGGAACAAATGAACCTGTTGTCCTTCCTCCACTGGAGCTGGACACTGGAGCCGGAGTCTTAAGTGTTGATAAAGTCTTGTCGCAGCTATCTGCTCAACACCGCCATGCCTAGACAGTCTTGTTGAATTTTTCAGGGCCATGTGATCCGCCAGGGCTGTTGGATTATATATAGAGAGCAGTGTGTGTGTGTGTGGGGCGGTCACATGCACTGACCCTTGTGTGTGTGTAAATCAGTGTGTATAATGACTTAGACTCTGACAAGTGAAATTCTAAACTTGTCCTCTACTTCAAGGAAACATGAATGAAATTCTTGTAATTTCTCCCTTACCTTACATTAGTTACAGTGACTCATTCGTAATTATTTGTACAAAGTCCAAACATTCCAAGTAATATTTTGTTGATTAAGTTTGAACTGTGTTATCTTCTTCAGTTCTGATGATTTTATAGACCTCTTGCACATAGGAAATTCACTTAAAAATACTGATTAAAAATATTGCCACAGGTTGTCTTAGTTCTTAAAAAATTGGCTTTTCAGAGAATATTTTTTTTTAAATTTGGTGACAATATTTAATATTATGTGCAACACTTGAGACAAGCGTTTTAGGGCCTAATAGAGTAACCCCCAATATATTTTTGAAATGGAGCTTTTTTTATTTGTTTGATGTTTTGATTTGTCAATTTATCCATTCAATATACTTTATTGGCACGAGTGTAACAAAGTCATACTGCCAAAGCATTGAGAAATTACATTAAAAGAAAAAGAAAAGGACTTATAATAAATAAATAAAATTAAGAAAATATCTGGAAACAATGAACATTTACGCTGTGTGTGTGTGTGTGTGTGTGTGTGTGAGATATTGTGGAAGTGTGTGTTGAAGAAAACAGTAGAAAGTGTAGGTGGTGTAGAGTAACAGAAAGGGAAAGGAGTGTTTCTGTGAGGAAACCGAACGTCTTGGCCACTGACCTCTGAGTTAGTCACCAAGCCATTTTAATGATACCTCCACAAAGCAGGAGAGCTTAATTATTTATCTTCACGTTGACAAGATTAGGGTGCCTTTAATTACCAAATGGCTGGAGATGCTTCACCAGAAAACCAAACTGACACAAAAAAAAGTGCAAAAAGTTAAAACTTGTCAGATGAAACAATGAATGAACTGTCAATATTCAGCAGTTATGTGCTCTACAGTACACTTGTGCAGGGTGTAAATTTGAGGCCACCGTTAGGCGCTATAATCAGGAAGTTTATCTTTGCCAAAATTCCTTACTTGTCACTAGTCATTCATTTATTAGAGCTCCGTTACATAATACTTTTGGTTAGGACATTGACACAAGTCACTGTATAATAAAATAACTAAAAAACAACCATAGTGAGTAACCCATAAACAATTAAGAACTTTGAAGCTCTCCACAACTTTTAGCTTATTGTTTTTGTTCACTGGCTGCACATACGTAGATGTAATTTAACATTTACATAGACAGTATGGTTGAGTCTTATCCCCTGTAGAAAACTTAGGCAGCTGATTCCAACAAACAAACTTAGACAATCAAACAAAGTAAACAAGAGGCTTGTAAAGAATCTTTCTAGCATCCAGCAAACAAAAGACTTCTTGCACGGAGTTGGTGGAGAACAGGCCAGACCACCAAGGAGAGGAAATATTGGAAATATTGGAATATTGATTGGAAAGCTACAGAATATTGATTGGAAAGCTACAGTGTGTAAAAGTGGGGAACTGTTGGCAGAAATGGAATATAATATTGATAGGTATGTTTTCATTCCTCTTTCATGGAGTCCGCCATGTTGAACTACTATGTTTCTACAGTAGCTCAGAACAGATAAACCAAACACTGGCTGTA